TAAGAGAGGGTTTGGTGAGAGGTTTGGAGGGACACAAAGATTTGGAATAGTGAAGAAAGAATATATTTAAGACAATAATCTTTAATCAATTCACGAAATTCAGCATTTTTTTTTTTTTTTTTTTTTTAAAGGTTTCATTAAATTGTAATTAGATATTATATTATTTCTATCTGTTTTTCATCACTGATATTTTTACCTGAGGAGTCTAAATAAACTCCAAAATAACTTCACACAAAAAAATTAATTAATTAATAATAATAATAATAATAATAAATAATAACTAAATAAAAAACTTCACACTCTTCTACCTTTTGTCTTTGTGCCTCCTCCGTTCAGAGACCCGGAGTGTGTCGCCCTCTGCTGGAGCTCAGTGTCACTGCACCACAGACACACAGGTCTTTTCTCCATGAAGATGTTTTGTTTTTGTCTGGAATGTTTCACAGTATGGCATTAAACCTTTTTATCTTCATGGAGACCAAACCAGACCAAGTTACAGGTCAGATCTGTGGAGAGGCGACCCCGTTCACAGTCAGAATGTTTGTTTTTCTAGGTATTTTTGAGCTGTAAAACCACCTGTAATTGTTTAAACGTAAAGTAGAGCTGTTTAAAGTCACACTGTGGAACATTCCAGACAGATCAGTGACTTTTGGGAGTTAAAGTGCACGTGACAGGTTTTCATGTTTCTCTAATCCTGACTTGGTTTGTTGGGGTAGTACCTGTGTTAAACATTTATCACAGTTTTACATCAGTTAAGTGTCAGTTTGTGTAAAAATAAAAGCTGAGAAGAAAAATACAGAAATACAGAAAGTAGATTAGAGTTTTCAAATGGAATTCCTCTGCCTAAACTCCACCCAAAATGCAGAGACAATTTATGAGCAAAAACAGATTAAACATTGATTTAACAAAATAAAGGTGTTTTCATTTATTTTTATTTGTCTAATCATAAACTATTGTGTAATTTAGACAAGTTTTTGCCCTTGTTAACATCACAGTTGCTACGTAAAAGAACTGAATTTACCTCTACGTGTGTCAAATCTGCTCTGTGTCCAAAGTAAAATAATAAACTTCACCAAAAAAAAAAAGAAGGTAGGTACATGTTTGAATAAAATGGTAAATATAATGTTATTTATGTTTTAGTGAGTAAGTTCTCTAACCTGTCATCTGCACTTTAAAGGAGATCACTGTTTACATGATCACAACATGTTGGTGAACGTGAATGGACTTTAAAAACACAGAGGAGCACAAGACCAAATGAAACAGAACAAACTCCAGGTACGTTTGTGATCAGGAAATGACATTAGAACACGGTTAAAGAGACCACAGAACATCTCTGCATATGAACAACTCACATCACGACATGAAGTGGTGCAAGTCAAACTCATTTAAATCATATCTGCACTTCTCATGAGACGTTCTTATTTTTTATTTTACCTTTATTTAACCGGGACGTCCCATTGAAGTTCAGAATATCTTTTTTAAGAGAGACCTGGCCAAGACAACAGCCAACACACACAATCAATCACATCACAATCAATCAAACCACATTATAAAACAAACTGCATCTCTCAACAAAAACACACTTCTCAGTCACCGCACTCTTTACAGTTTTACATCATAGTTTCCAGTTTAAGATGTTTCTGTAAATGATTCCAAGACCATGGTGCTGTAGGAAAAGGCAGATTTTCCCAACTTAGTGAAGCACTGAGACAGAGTGAAGAATAAATGGGAGAAGGAGTGAAGCCGGTAACTTCTTAAACTCATACTAAGGAGATGACTAAAGTTCCTGGGAAAGTTCTCCAGTATGACTTAAAGGTTGTATAGAAGATTTTCCAATGAAAGAGAAATGCAGCGACTGTTTGTCCATTTTTAAATGTCGCGTTTCACTCCTCTTCCCCTTCTCTTCTTCTTTCAGCGACGTCAAAAACAGACTTTCTTCTGTGGCGAACTGGTCCTGAATTCTTGTCTGCCGTTACAGCAAACTTTGTGCAAAACTTTGTGTGAGAGGAAGCTCCAGTTCGAAAAAGACACTAACAACTGCTGTGTTGGTTGAATAAACAGCATCAGTGCGTGAGAGGTGAAAGTAAACCACGTAGTCCCAGCGCTCTGGCAAGTCAGTGATGCTAGAAACGTATGGAGTTTTATTGACAACCCAACAGCCTATAGATAAAGAGGTAGCCTTGTTATCTATTGACTGATATTTATCTGCCCCCACCACGTCCACAGTTGATGGATTTTCATTCTTTTTTTTTTTTTTTGGTCATCATAATTACAAGGCTGCTGCATCTCTGTAATTTTATTCACTATATTATTCACTATAGACCTGCCCACACATCTGAGGTCACATGACTCCAGGTGAAACTGGTCCGACAGGTGACAAAGTGAAAGTATTTGGAGACGACACTGACGCAGTGAGTATATCTAATATTTTACACATGAAATCAAACATAAATTTGGGTTTAGTAACTTATTGGTAATTATGGAACTTTCTGGATATCAGACTTTTAAATTCCATGTATTTAATTTGAAAAGAGCTTCTATATTCCTTACAGACGTCCTATGTGACTTTTCAGGAGGAAGGAACTCAAACTGCTCATCTCCCCACAGATGATATTACTTTGTTTAGAATGTTACAAAATATGGCATTAAACATAATTATCTAAGTGTTTTTATTGCCGAAAAACATGCAACTTTTGTCTGGACAAAACAATAATAACTCCATCAAGGAAAGTAGGCAAAGTTTCCATCACCAGAAAAGTTACACAGTGCAGCTTTAAGTATTTTCTCAGAACTAGTTTAGTCTTTGTTCAGTTCTGTTTGTAATGTGTCTGTTACTTCTGTTTTAATCCTGATCTCAACCATTAAACAAATAAAATAAAAGAGGAAAATCCAGTTCAGTGTAATGTTAGTATGTGACCAGCAGAGGGAGACACAGACAGATCAGACTCTGGGTGCAGCAGGAGACGTCTCTGTATGTTCTGTTCAAATGGACTCTTCTTCTGATTCCAGCTCCTACAACATGGACCCACCTGGACCTGGACCCGGGTCTAAACCCAGACCTGAACCTGCTCCCAGCTCTGTGTCTCTGAAAAGTGATGAGTCCAGAAACCTTCCTCCCACATTTAAAGAAGCTCCTCCTGAAGACCAGAGGTAAGACCTTCTTAACCCAGAGCTCTGAACATGTTCTCATGACAGCGCCACCTGCTGCTCGTCCTTCATCAGTGCAAACAGTCGTCCTGTGTTTTATTGGAGCTCCTCTCATTTTGAGACAGACGAGTTCAGGTGGGACAGAATCACAGTAGAAACACTTTTCAGGTTCTCATGACAAACCTGGTGTATAAATCCATCTGTGGCCTAAATGAGTCTGTGAACTCTGTGGTGGTGATGCTGGTGAGTGTCAGGTTTAGTTCTGTGCAGTAACACTGCTCTTTATGGAAACACTGATCTGTCTTTTATAACCCTGTTTTACTCTTGTCTCTGTCTTATTCTGTTCTTTTATGGACCATGAGTCTGGAATAAATAAATGATGATGAGTTTATTGTTTGACAGGGAGCCAGGCCCAAAGGAGCAGCTGGACGCCATATTCAGGGTGAGTACCCCACGAGCGCAGCATGTGTGGGGTTCTCTGGGTGCTCCTCAGGTGCTCTCTTTGACTAAAACTCTTCTCTTATTGTTCTGTTCCAGCGTCTGGAGGAGGACGTCCTGACTTTTGTCAAAGAGCAGCTGCAGAGGCTCCACAGGCTCCTGGCCTCAGATTACCCAGAATGCTCTGAGAGTGAGGAGGAGGAGCAGAGCAGCAGAGAGGTTCTGAACATCACCCTGGACTTCCTGAGGAGGATGGACCAGGAGCAGCTGGCCCAGCGCCTGCAGAACAGTAAGAACTCTGTTACTGTCCATCTGAGGAACAGACCACACCAGACTTGACTTCACAGTAACAAAAGTCTACAGGTGTTTGAGGCTCACAGAAAGTACTATGACCCGTACATTAGGAGGGAGTTTTATCCACCTGAGGAACAGATGCTGGATATAATCTGTTTAACTTAAAGATGCTCTATGTCAGTTGTCTGGTGGAGGGTCATCACCTTCTTGTCTCCATGGAAATGTTGTTGCTTTGTCAAGAATTTTCATGCCATTGTTTATGTTGTTATGTTTAATGCCATTGGTATTTTTAATTCCCATGTTTTGACATCCACAAGAACACACACACACACAGAAACACACACACACACAGAAACACACACACACACACACACACACACACACACCTTCTGCCTTGTCCTGACACTCAAAACATCTGCACACAGGACACACACATCACGTGTGACATGAAATATACTGTGTCATTTTTCTGGTGGAGGGTCCAACTTTCTCGTTTCCATGGAGATGTTATTGCTTTACCTGGAATGTTCCACAGTATTTAATATCACATTTTATTATTTATTCAGTTACCTGTGTTTTTATTGCTCTTTGAAAAACATGCATTCTTTTTCTCTCCACAATCGTGACCTGTAACTTGATCTTTTGTCATGTGCTTGTCTACATGAAGTGTAAGGACATACTGTGGAACATTTCAGGTAAATTTACATATCCACGAAAATAAGCAGGGTACAGATGCTGCACCAGAAAAGTGATATTCTGACTCTTTCACTTCACAATTAAAAGTAGCTAATTTTCTATATCAACTATATTAACTGAAGTTAAGATGAAGTTTTCAAAAGGAGCTTGAGTTGACAGTTGTTTGTGTTTTTATTCAGGAAACATTGTTGGAGTTTGTAGAGATGAACTGAAGTGTGATCTGCAGCAGAGGTTCAGTCGTGTGTTTGAGGGCGTGGCTAAAGCAGGAGACTCCGCCCCCCTGACCCAGATCTACACAGAGCTCCACATCACAGAGGGCGGAGCCTCAGAGGTCAACCAGGAACATGAGGTCAGACTCATGGAGACGGCGTCCAGGAGACCGGCCGCTCCAGAGACCATCACATGTGAAGAGCTCTTTAAGCCCCGCCCACATTCACCAGAGCCAATCAGATTGGTGCTGACGAAGGGCGTGGCCGGCGTGGGGAAAACAGTGCTGACTCAGAAGTTCAGTCTGGACTGGGCTGAAGGCCGGGCCCACCAGGACCTCCAGCTGCTGTTCCCGTTCACTTTCAGAGAGCTCAATGTGCTCAGAGACACACAGTTCAGCCTGGTGGAGCTGCTGCACCCACTTCTTCAGTCCATCCAAACATCTCTGCAGCTTCCAACAGCTCCAGGTGCTCTTCATCTTTGACGGTCTGGACGAGTGCAGACTTCCTCTGGACTTCAGCCGAACCAGAGTCCTGACCGACCCCACAGAGTCCACCTCAGTGCACGTGCTGCTGGTGAACCTCATCAGGGGGAGCCTGCTTCCCTCCGCTCTCCTCTGGATAACCACGCGCCCCGCCGCGGCCAATCAGATCCCTGCTGAGTGCGTCTCCATGGTGACAGAGGTCAGAGGGTTCACCGACCCACAGAAGGAGCAGTACTTCAGGAAGAGGTTCAGAGACCAGGCCACAGCCGTCATCTCCCACATCAAGAGCATCCGCAGCCTCCACATCATGAGCCACATCCCGATCTTCTGCTGGATCCTCTCCACAGTTCTACAGAAACTTCTGGAACAAACAGAACCAGAGCTGCCCCGGACTCTCACACAGATGTACGTCCACTTCCTGGTGGTGCAGGCCAAAGTCCAGAACATCAAGTATCACCAGGGATCAGGGGAGGACCTTCACTGGACTCCAGAGACCAGGGAGATGGTGAAGTCTCTGGGAAAACTGGCCTTTGAGCAGCTGCAGAAAGGAAACCTGATCTTCTACGAGAGTGACCTGAGCGAGTGTGGGCTGGACGCTGCAGCGGCCTCAGTGTACTCCGGAGTGTTCACACAGATCTTTAGAGAGGAGCCAGGCCTGTACCAGGACAAGGTCTACTGCTTCATCCATCTGAGTGTGCAGGAGTTTCTGGCTGCTCTTCACGTCCATCAGACCTTCACCAACTCTGGAGTCAATCTGCTGGAGGATAAACCACGTTCTATTTGGTCTATCTTTAAAACTAAACCTGAACTATTAGTTCTCCACTGCTCTGCTGTGGACCAGGCCTTACAGAGTCCAAACGGACACCTGGACCTGTTCCTGCGCTTCCTCCTGGGACTGTCTCTGCCGACCAATCAGAGGCTGCTGCAGGGTCTGCTGACTCAGACAGGAAGTGAAGAGACCAATCAGGAGACAGTAGAGTACATCAAACAGAAGCTGAATGAAAAGGGTCTGTCTGCAGAGAGAAGTCTGAACCTGCTCCACTGTCTGAACGAACTGAATGACCAAAGTCTGGTGAAGGAGATACAAACTTACATGAGAAAAGGACCACTCTTCTGGTTAAGGTTTCCTGCTCAGTGGTCGGCTTTGTCCTTCCTCTTACTGTCCTCAGACTCAGACCTGGAGGAGTTTGATCTGAGGAAATACCAGGGCTCAGAGACAGCTCTCCTGAATCTGCTGCCGGTGGTCAGAGCCTCCACCAAAGTCCTGTGAGTCCAGACTGTATTTAAACTCTTGTGTGGAGGTTCTAGTCTCTAATGTCCCTCTCTGTCCTCAGTCTTTGTGGCTGTGGTCTGTCTCCTCACAGCTGTGCTCCTCTGGCCTCAGTCCTCAGCTCCTCCAGTCTCACACATCTGGATCTCACTAACAACGACCTCCAGGACTCAGGAGTGGAGCTGCTGTGTTCTGGACTGAAGAGCGCCCCCTGCAGACTGGAGACTCTCAGGTGAGACGCTCCCATGATGCACTCTGCCCCCTTGTGTCCACATGAGTGTAATTCTGTGTCTTTAGGCTGTCTGGATGTCTGGTCCCAGAGAGGGGCGGGGCTGCTCTGGCCTCAGCTCTGAGCTCCGCCTCCTCCCACCTGAGAGAGTTAGACCTCAGCTACAACCATCCAGGACCCTCAGCAGAGCTCCTGACCGCTCTACGGGACGACCCCCACTGCCCCCTGCAGTCTCTCAGGTGAGGGTCCTGTGGTTCAGTGGGACTCTGGTCCATGGTCAGTCCAGATCCTGGTCTCTGGTCTGGTCTAAACTGGACTTGTGTGTTTCAGGTTGGATCCTGCTGGAGAACAGTGGATGGTCCCAGGTCTGAGGAAGTGTGAGTTTCTGTATTTCATTCAGTTCATGGGAACATTAACATTATGTCACTTTATCAGACTTTAAATCTTCACAGTTACAGAGGAAACATTCATGTGATTAGAGCTAAAAAATACGTACACAAGATGTACGAGACTTGAGAGATGATTGTTATTTTTTACAATGGATTATTACAGCTCACAATATAGTTATAATAAAACAAAGAACATCTCATGTTTGTGTCCTCAGATTCCTGTGAGTTTTCTCTGGATCCAAACACAGCTCACAGAAACCTCAAACTGTCTGAGGACAAACGGACAGTGACCTTTGTGACAGAGGAGCAGCAGTATCCAGATCATGAGGACAGATTTACAGACTACTGTCAGGTCCTGAGCTCCACTGGCCTGAGGGGGCGCTGTTACTGGGAGGTGGACTGGAGTGGGAGGGACATTGAAATAGCAGTGAGTTACAGAGGAAACAGACAGAGAGGAGAGAGAGAGGAGTGTAGGTTTGGAGACAATGATCAGTCCTGGAGTGTGAGGATCTATAAGGAACATCACAGGTTCCATCACAACAAAGAAGAAACAACAGCCATCTCCTTCTACTCCGCCTCCTCTTCCTCAGGTCGAGTGACTGTGTTCCTGGACTCTGAGACTGGATCTCTGTCCTTCTATAAGGTTCGTTTCACTGGAGAACTGTTCCACCTCCACACCTTCAGGTCCTCCTTCACTGAGCCTCTGTTTCCTGGGTTTGGACTGTGTGATGAAGGTTCCTCTGTGTCTGTGGTGGAGCTGAGGGGAGCGCCCCCTGGTGGACATCTTGTGACTTTTTTATGATATAATGATTCTTTCCACTAATCTGTCCTAAATCAGTCAAAAATGACTGATTGACAAAAATGAAAGTGTTTCCTCTGCACACAACTTAAAATTTTCAGATAATCCTGAAATACAAAAAAATGTAAAAGATAATGTGGTCTTGCAGGTTTAGATGATGAAAATAATAATTGACTAAAGTTAGACTAGATTCAAATTCAACCCATACTACTTCTTATTTTTGTAGTATTGAAATATGAAATGTAGAGGATCAAATAATTAACATAATTTTTTTTTAGCTAAATGTATTTATAGATTCTATTTATCTTATTGTAATGGTTGGGAGATGATGTTATTTGCTGTGTTTGTGCACATTGGATGGAGAGAAACGTATTCCTTTGTATGTCTAGTACTTACGAAGAAATTGACAATAAAGCTCACTTTGAACTTTGATCATGGAACGTGGAACTAAACACTAAATCCACTTTTGTTGCTACTAAACTGTAAGTGGTGTATTAACAGCATAAAAATGGGTGTATCCTGACTCCAGTGGTCAGTGTAATTTCAGGTACTTGGTGACATCACACAGCACTGCCCTGATTACAGCCTGGTGTTTCTGACACAAACAGACGGCTGCAGGGGCGGAGTCTGAAGTGTGGAAACCTGTTCGACCAATCACACTGTTCCTTACACACCCAGACCCCGCCCCTCCTCCTCCTCCTCACTCCTTCAGTCCTCCAGGTACTGCCAGGTTTAGCAGCTCTATTTGAGTTTAGGGCTGCATCTGAAAAGGGTTAAATGTGCTTATAAGTTCCTTTCCTTCTCATTGACCCAGTCGTGCATCATCATCCACCATAACATCCAAAGGAGCATTTATACTTCCTTTCATAGTTCCTTCAGCATAGGAAGCTCAGGAGGTTCCTAACCAGCGGTAAGGAGTGAAGAGGTACCACACTATACACTTTGCATCAAACCAAATGTTTCCAAATACTATTGTACAAGTTACACTGCAGCAGATTATTAATTAAAATCTTCTGAATTCATAAACTCAACTTTATAACATATAAACCATAACCACTATAGAGCCACATCATTTTAGAAAAACAAAATTTAAAGCCATACAGCTCTTTGCATAAACTATAAGCACTCAAAAAAAAAACAGCTTGCTCCTTGTGCCAACGTGCCAGTTGTATTATGTTAAAGCCATACTGTGGAACATCCCTGGCAAATGCTGCAGCTAAATCTGTGACTGTTTATTGTGTATGTGCTGCTCTGAATGTCATTATTGTGCTCATGTTTACACAGGGTTATTTATGGGGCTGTTGGATGAGGCTCTTGCACTTTTAGTATTTCACTTTACATCAAAACTATGCAGAGTTTGATGCTTTAAACATAATTCCACTGTTTTCTACGACAATAACAATAAAATCTTGAACCTTCAAAGCCATAACACCTCCATGAGTCGAGCAGGTGGCAGACCCTCCACCAGAAAAGTTCCATAGTGCACCTTTAACCCTGGACACTGACAGAAGCCAAGCCCATGTACAGGGATCCAGTCTGGTGCAGTGTCCCTGGACCAATGAAACGTTCCTGTCAGAATCCAGCGCAGCGTTTGGATCTGAAGTGTGTTATGAATCGTACTCACCGCCCGACAAACTCTGACCGCTCGTTATCACCGCCAGGTTTCCACAGACAGAGCTCGCCAGGCCTGAAGCTCTGGGCTGTAGCTCCCTCCATGCTCCTCCTTTCAGACATCGCTCCAGTGCCCCAGTCACCACACCAGCCCTGGAGGGCACAGGTCAAAGGTCAGTGCATCTGAGCGGAGG